TACATTAAACAAACTTGTTGCCATCCTAAAGCCACATCTACAGAGTCCTATTGTTATTTGTCACGTCTACTGCTTGGGAAACTTTTCTGCTTGCTTGGGAAACTTTTCTGCTGTAACAGAATCTTAGGGCCACATCCTGAGGCCTAAATACTCTTTTTTAACCATTTCCTAAAAACCCTCTAACTTTATGGATTCCCACAAGCCAAGGCTTTGTATTAGAGCAAAAGTACTTCCTACAGTAAGGATGATGTTCTAAACAAAGGGCACTTTCTCTCCTCTCTGTGTACCTCTAGGCTGCAGGGAACTTCAGCAGCACACCAGGCTGAGAGGTGTATCAGAACTGATCACATCACCCAGTCAGAGGCTGTCAGGCATTCCTGAAATCCCTCACTGCCATGGTAACAACTCATACTAAGATATATGAAAGTAATACAGCCAGACAGCTTTCTGAGGCACCAATTAGACTGACAGAAAAACAGTTCTGTGATGCTTCTGGTTAAAAATAACATACTCAAAAGACTGTCACAAAAATGTCTAAGCAGTTTTGAAAACATCTACACCAAATCATTCTTCATTTCAAAGTGTGTAGATTCAGATAGTTTATTAAAAATTTCATTTAGAGATGCTGAAATGAAACATTTTTAGTTAACTGTTTTGACTTCCTCTAGACATTATATTTTGTCAGCCTAACAAACTAAAAAAAAAGAAGAAATAGCATTAACTATTTTAGTGCTCAGGTATTGACATATTTTTAAGTTCTTCTGAATGAAATTCAGGTGGGAAACAACCATTCATGGTGACTTAGCACTGCGTGGAATATAAATGGAGGTGACCACTTTACAATGCAGGAATTACTGGATTAATCATAGCACTTCACAGCTAATTTCCATTCCCTGAAATGGATCAGCAGTTAGCTCCAAAAATTTTTAAAGCCTTGAAACAGTCCCTATGTTATATGCCTTTTTATGCCAGAAGCAATCTAAAATCAAGTTCTACTTGCTAAGAAAGTTCTCAGAAGTTCAACCTGTCACATTATTGCTTGCATTAATTTCCAACCACACTGGAATTTTCATTTGCACAAGTCTCAGGTATTAGATTACAGGGATCTACATTGCTAATTTTGAAAGCTGCCAGTCGCTGACAGCATTTTTAAAGACTTAAGACAAGAAACACTTAAATCATAATCCACAGGACAAATTTAAACTGAACAAAGCACAAGTACAGCAGTCTGTGATTACATACCAAGATCAAAATATTACCCAGAGTTTAAACTGGACCTATTTACACTGAATTTCAAACTACTCATATGAATGTACAGTGTGTCCCTAACAAACACTCTGCAGCTACACAATAAGTCTAAGAGCCCATCATCATTTCACAGGACACTGCTCTGTTCATCAGTTGCTTAAAGGGACAGTTCTTAATGTACCCTCAACATCCAGGATACCAGAAAAATAAAGCAAACATGTCAGCTTGAAGAATCACAGAACATCTTGAGTTGGAAGGGATCCACATACATCATTGAATTTCAGCTCCTGGCCCAGCACAGAACATGCCAAGAATCCCAGCCTCATGTGCCTGAGAGTGTTGTCCCAATGCTTCCTAACTCCTGTCAGCCTTGGTGCTGTGACCCCTCCCCTGGGGAGCCTGTTCCAGTGCCCAACCACCCTCTGGGTGAAGAACCTTTTCAGATGTCCTTTCTGAAGCTCAACTTGGATCTACAATTTGGGGAGAGTGCCTTTATGAAGCACCTTATTTTGGTCTGACAGCCAAAAACCTTGGTGATATATTCCTCAGTTTAAAATTTTAATTGACTCTTTATGGCTTCATAAAATTAATTAACTCTTTGGTTTCATAAAATTTACTCCTGTAACCATAAGACTCTTATCCAAGAAAATTCCAAGTGTGCCAGCAACTGCTGGGCACAATAGGGTGCAGTCTCATTTATTACAACAACCATTCACATAACCTGTTTTAAAAACAGTACATACCTTGGCAACACTAGATTAAATGTTTACTATTATTCTTCCAATAGTAATTAAATGTCACATTCCTGAGTACTTTTAGGAAAAATAACTGAGGCCTCAAGAAAAACATCAACTTGTTGAAATTACCTCTGTAGTTTACTTTTAAAAGAGTTTCTATAAACAGTAATATTCAGACAAAAGTAAAAAATTCTATTAATATAGATGGCAATAATAATCTGATGTAGCTATGAGAGGCTAGTGAAACACATGAAGTAAAGTTTGTATCAAAACATATTTGGTCAACAAGTGATAAATTGAAACAAAGGAACATGAGATGTTTGTGTAGCTTCTATAACATGTGGGGACACAAGGTATTTTTTTCACAGAAAAGCTTACTGGTCTTGTGTTCATGATCTATCTATTGTGGGAGGTAAATTTTAAAAATGTCATTTATGCGTAGAAGTTATTCCAAAAAGAAAGTGTCTTATGCTCGTGAAAAAGAAACGTGTGGGCTCCTCTTCTAAGATTTCTCTATCTTCTTATTTTTTGCCACTGAAACAGGGACATGAAATTTAGGGAAATATCGTGTACATGTCAAATAACTGTCCTTACCAGAATGCTTTTTGACTCCCTGTACTTTCTCAAAAGCTTTGTCTGTTTCATGTTAAGCGTATGATTCTTTGCCTCTCGTCTAAGGACCTTCTCTATCTGTGGAGTCACTTTCATCTTTGGTTTGAGGCGCACTCGGTAGCTGTCAGGAACCAGGAACTGGAAGCAGTAAGGACATATCCTTTCTAATCCACGTTCATTACCTACAGATAAGTAAAGGCAAAAGGATAAAATAACTAAGTTTTATAAGCAAACTTTAAAATTGTGTGTTTCAATGTAAACATTACCTAGCTACATGTTTTTGTGTTTAAGGTAACACTAGAACACAAGAGGAAGCTGAGCACCAGAATGTGCTCAGCTGAGCACAATTCAGACTAAGTTGACGCCTGGCACAAGTTTACACGATATGTAACTGCAGATTTTCTTGAAAAAACGCAATTCTTTCCCAAAAATCAATAGCAAAGGAGGCTCACAATTCTGCCATGTAGGCACAATCTTCTACCAGATCAGGGACACCAAAGCCTCGGAAAGCTCTTTGCCCATAAAAGTGTGAGAAGATGACACGACCTCAGGAACGAGAGAAACACTTTGAGGTAAATTTCAGACCCAACAAGAGGCTCGCTCCTGGCATCCGCCTCATTATCTCCTGCAGCCGGAGCCGGACTCGGGTGGGTTTCCCCAAACCCCCGAGGGACCCCTGGCCCTGCCTCCTGGCGAGCTCAACACCGCAGCCGGCAGCCCCGAGGCTCGGCCCTGCGGGGGCAGCGCAGGGCAAGGGGCACAGGGAGGGAAGGGGCAAGCCGGCATTCCTTCCCATGCTCCTGTCCCGTCCTTGCGCGGCTCTCCCGCGGCAGGAGCCTCCTCTGGAGCGCGCCGGCCTCACGGGGCGCCCGGCTCCGGAGCCCCCTCCTCCGGCCCCGGCTCCACCGCCTGCGCCCGGGTCCCTCACTCGCCTCGGGAGCTGCGGAGCGTCCACCTGCACGGGAGAGAGGGAAAAGCGTCAGGGCTCGGCCGCCGGCACGGGCGGGGACATCCCGCGCGTCACCGCCGGGCTCCCGCACCGCCCGTCCCGGCCCCGCCGCGGTTCCTTACAGCAGGAATCGCGCCTCTCCCGGGCACGTCTCCACCAGCTGCTCCGCCGAAGCCAACAGCCGCCGCCGCCCCATGGCGCTGAGCGCCCCGCCCCGCCGGAAGGACGGGAAGGGAGGGAAGGCGGGCGATGTGCAGCGCTTGGCCGAGCCCCGGCGGCTACGCGGCCGCTGCACCAGGGTACCGGGCTGGGGCGGGCCCGGGCGAAGGCAGGGTCGGGGCCGGCGCCGGAGGGCAGCGGGGCCCGCCCGAGGGGCCGCGGGAGCCGAGCCCTCTCTGAGCGCGACACCCGCCGCCTGTGTCCCCGCCGTGTGAAAAGTTTCTCCGGTAGGAAAGGAAACTTTTACCTTCTGGAAAAAAAAAAAAAAAAAAAAAAAAACGTGAGGAGGAGGTGCTTTAGGTTGAGGGCGGCAGAGCGCTTAGGCTGGCTCAGAGAGGTCATGGAATCTCCTTCTCTGGAGACACGCCAATCCCACCTGGATGCGTTCCTGTGTCACCTGCTCCAGGGCACCCTGGATGGATGATTTCCAGAGGTCCCTTCAAATAGTAACAATTTTGTGATTCTGTGAAAAAAAACCCCAAAATCCCAAACTCCGAACCCCACGCGTTTCTCTGTGAGGGCTTGTCAGGTGAAAGATGTGCAGCAGCCGCTCCAGAAATCTGCCCGATGCTCAGCAGTGCTGAACATCTGTCACTATACTAGTCAGCTGTATAAAAGTCATGAACTGCTCTCTTTTGGGGGTGCCTTTGCCGTGCATTTTGGCGACTGCAGACTTTATCACTCTGCAAATGTTCTCCAATAAAAAAAAAAAAAATTAAAAAAAAAAACAAAACCCCCCCAAAAAACCCCAAAAAACAAAAACAAAAAAAAACCCTCAAAACCAACAAAAACCCCTACCAAAACCACAACCTCCCCCCCAAAACCTCCCCTGCAACCCCCAAAAAAGCCCCTAAACCAAACCCTAAGCCTCTCACCATTTGATGTGTGTTTTATTAATTCCCTCAGCCCTGCTCATTTGCTAGACATTTTTATCCTTTGATCTATTGGTAATGGTGTTCATTTAGGAGAGGTATTCAGCTGAGCAGGCTTCAATAGTCTATCAAGGAATTTGAATAAATATAATTATTTCTTATTTTCTGACATGGTGTAGCCAAGGCCTTTAAAAATAGAAAAGCAACAGGAAAAAGACATTTCAAGGCTTCCTTTAAGACAGGTTTACTGCACAGTCAATAAATCTGGACTTGTTAATTAAATGTTCATAATAGGTACAATTAGGGCCTCTGTTGAGTCTATTTTTTTAATGAAACTAATTTTTTCAGTTAACCTTTCAATGTTACATTTTCATTGCTTTGTTGCTGGCTTTTTTGATCCTAGAGTGAACTCCTACCTTTTCTGAGTGGAAGAGGAGAGATGTCATGTAATATCTATTCAAAGCAGAACCAGTGTCCATCAGTTAACAGATTTTTTGGCAAATGAAATATTCCCATTTATTAATACTGGTGAGGGAAAGTGAAAGTCCTTTTTGAACACAAGTAAACAAAAGTAATTCCAACACTTTTTTGAGGTGTGGGTCTGTGTCTATAATTTTTAAGCCCGTTTGTTCCCCAGGGAAGTTGTTTTTGGGGGAAGAATGGTGAGGCAAGATAGTGCTTTCCCAGCTGCTGCCTAGATAAAGGGAAATGTGCTAGGGGTTTCTTCTTTTGCCTGGAGCTGGGACCTGACTCCTCCCTGCCCCTGGAGTGGTGCCGGTGGGCCAGAGCATCTGCACCAGCACCGTGGATTCAGTTTTCCTTCTGAGAACAAGTGCCTGAGCAACCTGATTAACCAGCATGTGCTGTACTTATTAGGCAGTGACTAACACAATGCAAAAGATTAATTTCCATTCTCCCCCCCTCCACCTTCACTTTTACACTCTTTATATCCCTGCTTTTTTCTCTCTCAGTGTCTTCCAGTGTGCCTGAAATGCTTGTACACTTTTTTGTCCTTCTGCTCCTGAGACAACACTGGTCCATTCCTTTTTTTTATCTTAGCTGGCTGGATTCTCTTTGCATTATAGATCATCTTTGTTAAAAAAGCAGGGCAGACAGCCACTCCCAGAGCCTTCCACATTCAGGGTGATGTTCCTGGGTGATGTGTGTCCCGGGTCCCATCATATGAGGCTTTCCCATATTAGGTGGGGTGCTGAATGTGCTAAACAAAGCACTAGAGACAAAGGGGAAATGGCCAAAACCCATGGCCCCAAATCCATGGCTCTCTACCAGCCCCTTCCTGCAGAACTCCCATCACAAGGCAGTATTTCTGTGCATCCAGTGCTGGCAAGACCGAACCCTTAAAACCAGACAGCCTTCAGATCCCCGGCACAGTATTTATGGCATCAGTGGGATGGATTCATCCTCATTTCAAGGCAGAACGCTTTCGTCTCTACTTTTTCCTGGCTTTTGTTCACCAAAAAAAGAGCCCACGTTAGCAGAGCCGTGTTACAAACTGCTTCCCGCTTCTGTTGTTTAGCGTTATGTAGCTACCACGGCTGGCCAAGAGGCTGTAAATCTTGCCTGGTGTTTTGTAACAAAGGAAAAAATAGAATGATTTGTGTTGACTTTTGGTCATCGTGTATCATTATCGATCCGGGGGAGGGCGGCGGGGAGCGCGTAGCGCGGATCTGTTGCTCGCCGCTTCTCCGGGAAGGCGGCGTGAGCCGGCAGTCAGTAGAGGGCAATAGAGAAATACAGTTTGTGATGCCTAAAGGATTTGAAGCCCTGATTATGTGTTTACAGAAAAGAAAAAGAAGAAAAGAAGAGCCAGGAGGATAGGTTGTTCAGTTTACTACCGGAGACCTGACTGTGACAGACCACCAAGAAAACAGAATTTTCAAAGAGAGTAGAGAAGACCTTCTGCAGCATCTGCAAGTCTGTCCTTTTTTCTTCAGAGTTACGTAGGATAACTTAGCCAGAACTTATTGATGTCTGCATGTTCAGTGGACTCGGGGATGGACTGGGAGATGCGGAAACGTACTCTTTGGAAGAAACAGGAGAGGAGGCATTTCAAAGATCCTGCAGGTGACAAAGGTGAGCAAACTCACAGCTTCTCTTTCACGTGAGATAATAAATGTTCAGTCAGCTGTATAAAAGTCATGAACACACTGAGTGAGTGATAGAAATTATATGAGAATTTTGCTTTTTCAGGCATGCTACTGCATGATTCATTTTCTCACTGAAAAAAGAGAATAGTGATGCTACAAGGAAAAGCATTTCCAAGCATATGTTATTTTGAAGACATGCTAAAACCAGTGACCTGTTTTATGTGTCATATTTTGTATTAGAATTGTTTGAAACGTGCTCATCATTTTACAAGCTTTATGTGCCATAGTTCCTAGACTCTAGTTTACAGAGAAATATATATATAAAAAATGTGACTATTGTTTCTCCTTTTAGAGGGGATTTTTGCTCAGCTTTTAGACAAATGTGATTTGAAGGTTTGAAGAAATTTATCAAGAGATTTTTGGATGCATAATGGGAATGCCCTCAGGTTTCTCAAAGGCTTTTTAATCAGAAAGATATTGAGAAGTGATAACTAAGAACACAGTAATAACAAAAGGTGTTAAGCCATAGAAATCAAGGGATGCAGAGGGTTGGGAAAGCAGAAAAAACCACAAGAGACTAAGTTAGGAAATAAACATGTGAAACACTTTTCTATTGCCAAGATCTCAGCTGGTGTCACCATAACACTTGGAAAATATCCTCAGGATGCCGGGAACCATTAAAGCAGTACAGATTATCAGAAGATAAACTTCCACTTCAGCTGCCACCACTACCAGAAGTGACCAATAAGAAATGTTAGGGAAATGAAAGATGAAGAATCAAAGCATTGACATTCTGGGGATATCACAGACCAAATGCAAGGGTACCTAGAGGTCAGTCAGAGAGTACCCATTTGAAACAAGGCAGGCTGAAAAATAAAGTAAATAAATCATATTCTGAAAGAAACCATCAGCTTTTAAAAGGTAATTAAGGGACAAGTTATCTGGTGTTCCTCCTGAGCTTGGATTTATTTTGTAAGTGGTATTATAGGTGAGGCTATGACACAGTGATTTATCTATGCTTTGAGTGCCAAAAACATGTAAAAGATTAGTGTGGCTTTTGTTAGTTTATGCATTGTTTAGAACACAGCTTCCTTGCAGTATGTGCGTGAGGGAGGTGAAAGGTAACGTATACAAAGCATGCCACTGTGTCCTGTGGGCTGGCAACATCCATTTGATAGGGAATATACCAAATGACTATCAGAATCCATCTGATCTTGAAAGCTACAAGTTTTAGTTTCCTGTTTTTTCTTCCTTTCATTCAATTTCCAGTACTCTACATCTTGTATACTTGTAAATCCATTATCTCAAAAGATAATAGAAATTAAAGATGGTGTTGAACAAAAACCTCAGAGAGAAATATTAATGCAGCTTAATAGTGCCAACTCTTCTTTAAAGTGGTCTCTGGTAGAAATTATTAACTCTGTATCTAGGATGTGAAGCTGTAGGGCAGTAAACGTTCCCTTATAATTGATACCTATTTTCAGTGAAATTAGCAGGGTTGCTGTGTGGTATTTTGTCCATACAAATACAGTCAAAGGGATTTTTGTAGTGGGGAGCCACACAGTCCAGCGGCTGGGGCTGAGGAATGGGAGCTGTGCTCCTGCAAGTCCAGGCCTTGCTTTGTCTCTCTGTGACTTTTGGTAATTAGGCTTACTTATGGTCAGCTCATGAAGTGGCCAGCCTGGCACCTTGCCCATGCCAAGGTCTGGGCTTTGAGTGGCAGGGTGCAGATGGTACAAGGAGGCCTTCCTTTCATGCGGGTTATGGGAAAGGCCATTGCCAGGTTGCAGTGTTCTACAGTACACAGACAAACATACTCCTATGCCAGTTCTGCCTGTAAATCCTTGCTGCCTTGAGTCATGATAAACCTTTCCTTAATTTTCACTCACAGAACAGTTGTCTACAAATGTTGAAATCTCAAGCCAAAGTTTCACCTGTGAAAAAGATGCTGCTAATTAATGTGTTAATTGTCATGTAAACCCCTTTGCTTAATGAGATGTGAAATAGCCCCTGCTGTTAGGAATATCAGTGTGCACAGGAGTTTGTCCCGGGCACTTAGGGTCATTTACTGCTGTGCTGCAGCACAACCCAGGGCTGCTATTTCAGCCTCTTGCCAAAATAGAAACGTTTTACTTTCTGATGAGTCATCTGGGTTTCGCTGAGATCTTGCAAGGTTCCCCCACCCTATTCTTCTTTGCTGTGCAGTCCAGGCCCTGCCCTGGAGGCCTTGCTTTCTCAGGAAAAGATGGGGTGGAACCTGCTTCAGCAGCTGTCAGTTCCATTCCTTAATTAACTTGGAGCAGACTGCTAATGAATGATATGGAGCGTTTTCCCTGTCACTGGAGCTGAACATGCAGCGTTCCCAGCCTTTTCTGGCCAGCAGTGTGGAGGAGCAGTGCTGGCAACTGAGTCAGAGTTTGCCACACGTTGTGCTAAATGTTCCCTGCATCAAGGCAGAAAGGGAACTAGGTCAACAAAAGGTTGAACTACATGTTTCAAGAAAATATTTCCTTGCATTTTTTTTTCCTTGTGATGCAAAAGGGGGTAGAGGAAGACTTAATTTTCTCCTTTCCTTTTACTTTAAATTAGTTCCTTTTCCTTCTAAGTCTGAATGATCTGTTTTAAGGTAGCACTAGTTTGAGCATGAGGCCGGACTAGATGACCTCTAAAGGTTTCCAACCTTACCCTATAATTTTCAACAGTCATGCTGTTATTTTGGATTCCTCCTGACTCCAAATTACCTGGGAGAGGGAAAAAAAACCACCACTGTTTAAAGATAATTTTCTTTCCCCTTAAGTTATTATTTTTATTCATTTGAAAATGCACCAGGGAAAATAAAAGCTGGGTACTTCTAATAAATAACAGTGTTATGGAATAGTTCTTTGCAGTTGTTGGTTTATGAGTTTTGTTGTAAAATGCTTTAATTACCGTGTTCAGGCTGCTTTGCAGAATTGGTATTAGGCAGAAATGTAGTCAGCTGAGGGGTAAACTGTTTGAGGGCTGTACTCCCTACTGCAGTTGAAAAGTGGCTTTTCACACCTGTTTATAGTATCCTAAGTTGGTCTTGTGTTTGAAAAGCTGGTGTCATTGCTAATTCTTCCAGTTCTATGCCTGGTGACTCATGTGGTAAGAAGGAGTGAAATATTTACTGCTAAAGTATGTGAAACAATATTAATTTTAAAAATCCATATTGCTTTTTCAGTAATGCATTTTAGCTAAATTCATTCCAAATTATGCTGTTTGCCCAGCTGACATTCTTAATTCATCACCCTGGCTGAAACCAAGATCTTCAAAGCCATTTACAACAGCTAAACAAACATGTCTTTCATTAGCTTCGATTATAATGCCTGATGAAGTGCACAGAGGATCTAAATCTTTAGAGATGACAGTGATGGATATGATTTAGACACAGGAGAGGTAAGAGAATCAGGCTGATGCTTAGAGTGAGCATTAATCCAGAGTTTCACAGTCAAATATAGGTGGATGGTGCAGTGCTTCGTATCTGCTTCAAAACTGCTGCTGAGGCACAACATATTGTAACTGCACTAGGAAGTGAGCACTTGGGTTTTCATTGCTGGTAATGGGGCCTTGTCCCCAAAACCTGCTCCTCTTTTAAAGGATAAACTGGATGTAACCACCTCCGAAGTGTGAAGCAGCTACAGTGAAGAGGAAAAACTCCACGTGACATCAATTTAATTAGAATGCAGTATCATTGCCTTGATTAGTGATGGAAAACAGGAAACTTCTTCAGTGAGGATTGTGTTATAGCTGCACAATTCCACAGTAGGGAAAGGATTTAACCTTTGTCAAGTTGGCCTGCATGCAAGGCCCTCGGCTTTCCTGTGCCCCTCAGAGACTTTGTGCACAAAACAAAACAGCAAGGGGTAGATAATTCAACAGAAGATTTCTTTTTCTAAAATCCAGAGACCTCTGCTTAAGCATCCCAAGCTATTAAAAACTCACACTAGTTGTATGCATATATCTTAAACAAACATCATCAGAGTTATGTTAACTTGTTGCTTATTTGGAATGTGGAGAGGGGCTGATGCAATCTCTGGTCTTTTTCAAGAAGGCACATAGCCATATGTTTTTGTGTATTCTTTTCATTATTATTAGATAAAGCTGACAGTGGTGTTCAAGTATAGTCTGCATCAATCCCTTGAAAGGTCATTTCCTTAGCGAGCAAAGACTTGTTGCCTTTCTTCAGGACAATAGTTTTAAAGACTAAGTTGATAGCTGGGCAGACACAACAAAGTTTGTCAATTCATAATCAATTTATGGAAATGAAAATTATTTTTTCCTTACTGTGTGCTTAAGCAATGTTTTCCTGATGAAAATATTTATGTATTTTTGTTTGTTTGTTTTTTGGGATTTTTTAATCTCCTCCTTTCTCCTGAGCCAGTCTGAGATCTCTATATCCCTTAGCCCTGTTTAGAAAAAAGATCTGGTTATCCTAAGAGCAGGGAAGACAGTGTAAAGCCTGAAGGAATTCTAGACAGAGATGCTGTGGCATACATAAGGTCTGTGAAGAACTTGTCACTGTGCATTTTGGCTCTCAGCTTCTGTTTCATTTGCTCTGCTGGTTAATCATTGGCTTGAGTGCTCAGGTACCATGGTGATCAACACACTACCAGTGCCACAAACCCAGCATGATGCATATTCATTGAAACACTATTTTTGAAATAAAACCAAAAATAAATACAACTTTTGAAAATCCTCAGCATAGCTAACATTGCCATGTACTTTCCTCTCTAACAATATAAATTAGCATGATAGGATACAGGCTTCTTCCTCCCATTTTAGATTTTTCCTTCTGCTGTTGATATCCCCAGCTTTCTCATTAAGTGGTTTGAAAGGCTTCAGACTTCTTCCATATGTTGAGTATAGCACATTTGTGCATTGGCCTTTCTGTGCAGCTATTGAGATGTTTGTTCCACTGTCATCAATATTCATATCAAGGAAAGGCCCTTGGAATAAGAGCCAAAT